AAAAAAAGCCCAGGGGCAACATTTTACTTTGCACAGATCCCTGAAATGGGAATCTATTGTGAATCATTCCCAGCAGTAGGCCTGCCAATAAAGATGTTGTAAAAGCAAACATGGCTAGAATGATAACATGGTGAGTCTAATCCCTGTGACCTATATATTGGTTGACTCAAGTTAAATTTTACAACATAACTGTGTAGCCTTGCCTTGTAAGCAAGGAGCCAGAAAGACACTGAAAAATAGGAAGCTGCTGTATCCTTTTTTTTGGGGGGGGGGGATGCCTTCAAGTCAGTGTTGACTCCTGGTGACTGCCTGGACAAGTCCTGCAGTTTTCTTGGCAAGATTTCAGAAGTGGTCAGAAGGTTGCCATTGCCTCCTTCCTAGGGCTGAGAGAGAGTGACTGGCCCAAGGTCACCCAGCTGGCTTTGTGCCTAAAGCGGGATTAGAACTCATGGTCTCCAGCCTGATGCCTTAACCACTACACCAAACTGGCTCTCAAACTGGCCCTGTCTCCATAGTCAGATATTTATAAACCCATCATTGCTATTGCTTAAATCAGGGGAAGGCAACCTACAGGCCACATTCCCAACACCAGTACCCAATTTGTAGCCCCAACCTCCTTGGGCAGAGCTGACATTTTCAGACCTTTAGATTTTTAAAGGTTGGGGGAATTTTAAGGAGCAAAATGGGTACCTTAAGAATTGCAGACATTCACAATATCCATAGCACTGCTTAAAAACTTTCTCCGCTGGTTCACCAGTGGAGGAATATTAAAAGGATAAGTGGAAAGAACGGTCAACACATTTCAGCTACATGCACTCCAGTGTTGTCACTTCACGAACTATACCCCCTAAAGGCTCAGAGACAAAGTGACCCCCTCCCCCAAAGAAGACTGGTAATCTGGTAATTTGATAGGATCTTTTAGCCCTATTTGAGATGCCAGAGGTTGGACCTAAGATCTTTTGCGTGAAATGCTTGGCTCTACTAATGAGCTGCAATTTTTCTCTATTCTCCCATGGATGACTCCTCCAGTAATACGGTATCTTTTTTATGTACGGATCTGCCCAAATTGATATGTTGGCCTTCCAGTGAACATGTGCAGATGGCAAGTGATGGGAAAACCCTTTTTGGTGTCAGAGTTCTGGACAAGTTGGGCCCATAATTATCTAACAGTATATGGCAGTTTTTGAATGGGACAACAGATATACAGGAATCTCAGAGCAATCTCCGAGGCACGTGCAATGTGCATCCCATCCCAGAAAGTTACTTTAGGAAGTTTGGTATAGTGGTTACGGCACCAGGCTAGAGACCAGGAGAGGGAGAGTTCTAGTCCAGCCTTAGGCAATGAAGCCAACTGGGTGACCTTGGGCCTGTCACTCTCTCTCAGCCCTAGGAAAGAGGCAATAGCAAACCACTTCCAAAATCTTGCCAAGAAAACCACAGGGACTTATTCAGGCAGTGGCCAGGCATCAACACTGACTGGAAGGCACACACCAAAAAAAAAAAAAAACGAACCCAAAACAATACCACTTATTGGGACTGGCAGCAGCGCTCCAGAGTTAAAAACTGGTCTATCATGTGATCAGCCCTCTTATGGGTAGGTATCCGACGCCCCACTCCCCCCAACGCAAGCGCACCCCCCTCCAACTATTTCTCTGCAGCCTGGGACCTCCCACCCATTTTCCCAGCGCCGCCAGCCAGCTGAGCTGGTCCAGGCTTCGCTGGATCACCCCGTGCGAAGGGTCTCGCAATACAGAGAGAGAGAGGGAGGATGTTTCCTTCCTGGGGAGCGGGACGTGGGATCGCGGCTTTCTCTCCCCAGGAAGCGCAGCACCACAGTCATCCGCGGCGTAACCGCCAGACTCGAAGGCAATGCCGGCTCCGCCCTGCGTGAGATTCAACCCGGCGCCCTTCCCGTCGTTTCCCCACGCCTTCCACGTGGGAGCGCAGGCAGGCTCTCCCGGGCTTCCTTCCACTTGCCAGCGCCAGTGCGCCTTCTCGTGCGGGCGGGGAAGGGCAGGCGCTGTCGGGAGCGTCTCGCCGGCTTCTCTCCGTCTAGGGGAGCCCGTCTGTGGGAAGTTGATCGGGTTTCTTTTTGGCCGCTGTCTTCGGAGCCGGAGGGAGAGGCTTGGCCGCGAAGGGCGTTTGCGGGAAGCCGGGGGCAGAGGATGCCGTTCTGCTGATCCGGGGCTGGAAGCGGCGGGCCGTAAAAAAGGAAGGAGCGAAGGTTGGAAAGGAAAGAAGAGAAGCGCCGGGTAAGGAGGGGACCCGCTGGGTTTCTCAGGGGCTGTCGAGGGAGCCGACTTTGGGAGGCGGGTCCGCGCAGGACGGGCAGAGAGGTCGATTTGGGGGTAGTCCTCTGGAGCAGGAACGTTGCGCTGCTGCTGCTGCTGCTGCTGCTGCTGCTAACGATATACCGGGCGATATTTCTAGCTTGCTTGCTTCCCCCAAATCAAAACTTTTGTAGCATCGTAGAGTCACACAGCAGCTTAAGATTGGGAGCAGAAGTCTATCTTTTGAGGTGCCTCGTTCTCTCGGTTTTTGTCGCCCTTCTTCTTCAACGCCTTCGGACTCTGGGCAATAGTGGAAAGTTTTATTATTTCGCAATCTGGTGCCCTCCAGATGTGCCTGTACTTTCGCTCCTGAAATCCCCAAGTAATTTGGCCACGCTGGCTGATGGTTTGGGGAGCGTAGTCCATCTTCCCTGACAGGCACCAGGTTGGGGAAGGTTTTGACATACTTTCAGGCAGAGCAAGGGAACCAAAAAGCAGCATTCCGTATTTCACTCTTTTTTTATGTGTGACTGAATGGAAGTGGCTGGGTGTTCCACGGTTGCTAAGTGACAATGTCTGCAAAATCAGTTGGTGGTAGTTACTTAAAGTTTATGAAAATGGGCACAAAGGTGTAATCTTGTGTGCACAGAGTCAATGAATAAATATAATGCACTTTTCCCCACACATTGAACCCTACTTTATATGCATTTCCTTAGAGGCAAGTAACATTGAGTCAATTTCGGCTCCTCCTTAGAACTGCAGCCATCAAATCCTCTCCCACCTTTCCCTCCAGGGCAGATTATGTAAACATGAAGAAGGAAAGTTAGGCATTGAAGCTGCCTTTGTGTTTTGGGGAATGGGTGTGTTGCTCACCAGCTGTCATTCTGTGACAGCTCTAGCTAGTCTCTGGTGATGCCAACACCTTTTCCCTACTTGATCAGCACGAAAAGTTTACTTGCAGACTACTAGCAGGGCCACCCAGTTAGGGAAGGGCCGTTAAGGTGCTACATAACCACACAATCTTTATGTAATCACATGAGCAGAGATTGCAGATGTTACTAAGGGTTATTGATTGAATTTAAAGTACTGAAGAGTTTTGTGCACCTTAAAAACAACTTTCTACAGCCTAAAATTGCATAGATTACAACCCAAAACATCTGATGATTTTCAAGATAACAGAAGGCTCTTTGTTTTTTGTTTTTAATGGCAACACTTTAAAATGTCCAGCCCCTGGAAATGAGTTACACTCATTTATTTATATTTATTTATTTAAATAAATTATTTAAATATTTATTATTTAATTATTTAATATTATTTAATATTATTTAATATTATTTAAATATTTATTTATATTTATATCCCATATTTTAACTGAAACTAATTTTCAAGGCCACTACTGTACTTAAAAAACATTCTACAATAATGAAGAGGAGCAAGTTGCTACCTATGAAGAAGTTCAGTAATACTTCCTGCAGCTCTTCTACCTTGAGCTGCAATAGAGAGGTGTGTGTGTGTTCTTGGAGTATCACAATCCTATAGAAGTTTATTCCCATTGAGCACAATGGAGCTTGCTCCTCAGTGAATGTGCATGGGTTTGCTCCTTCCTTGTCTTCCTTGGCTTACACAATGCCAGGATGTTTGTGTTATCAACCACAACTGTTAGTGAAGGCTATTTTTGATCTGTTCATTCTGCAGTTTCATTTTCCTCTGAACTCCCTATTTACAGTTCCAACCCAACCCCTTCAAGAGAAGACTCCCTGCATTTGATCACTCTGTCCTCCCCCAAATCTTAAACCATCCTAAATGCCTTGCTTTTTCCTGTATTTGTTACAGGGAACAAATAAGTCTAAATGATGGCCTGAAGTCTTGCAGATGTGTAGGACTTCAGTTCCCATAATTCCCAGCCAGAAGGTAGGGAAGACTGGACTGAAAGATCTGTTACCCAACAAACTTCACAGACAGAAGTACACTTTATGTACTTTTTAAATAGAAAAGCAGGATTAAAAACATTACAGTAATAACAGGCAGAGGCAGATGGATTAGACAGTAGGAGCAATAACCTCTTCCTCCATTTCTCGCCAGCAGTTACTATTCCAAGGTTCACTGCCATTGTATGGGGAAGTTTCATTTAGTAAACATGATAAATATCTGTCATTAGATCCAGTTAGTCCATTTATTTATTACTTATTAAATGTATATTCCATCTTTTTTCTAAGAGCTCAGAGCTGCTCACTTGGGGATTTCGCTTCATCTTGATCCCCAGACCAGTCACCCAGGTTGGGCTGAGAGTGTCTGATCCAGAATCACCTTGTGAGTTTCCATGTTGTTGTTCAGTCATTAAGTCGTGTCCGACTCTTCGTGACCCCATGAACCATATTGCGCCAGGCCTTCCTGTCCTTCACTGCCTCCCTGAGTTTCCATGGCTGAGGGTAGATTCTGCTCCTAGATCAACACCTTAACCACTATACCGCACTTCTGTTTAACAGGCTAGAATGGCCATTTAATCAATTGATGGGCAACTTCTTAACGGCAGAGGATACATTTTTCTTATTATTTCAGGCTCCAGGGGCCAATGGGGGCATGCAGCATCTGATGAGAAAGGCGTGACAAAAATTTCCCTGACTTTGTTTCCTTTTGTCAGAGCCTGAACAGTATTCTGATTGTAAAATTGATAAGCCTTATGAACCCCCCTCCCAATCACTGTTTTTGCCACTTTAGCAACACACTGAGGATAGTTAGGGTCTGCTTGCAGTTGGTGGTCGTGGTTGTCCATCCTTCATCTGGCTTGGGACATCATACTATGACACAGTCTTTCTTGGTATCAGCTACAGGCCTTTTTCGACCCTCTTGCCTGAGATGTCCAGGACTGAATTTTAACTTTCTGCACACAGAGTATACATCATCTCCTTTCTGGCAAACCCAATAGGCTTGTTTCCTTTTGTGTAATATCAAAAAGTAAAGTCTCCTTAAATCAAATTCAATTCTTGGTGACTTCATGGATGTGCCCGTGTAGTTGCTTGGCAACAGTACACAAGGAATTTGCCACTGACACCTTCTTGGATCCTTTTGTGTCTTCCCAATCTAATCTACAGATTTTCTGTAGGACTAGGTATTAGTTATTTATTAATGTATTACTTTTATTAATTTGTTGCTTTCCAGATTTTAATGTTTTTAAATAGTATTTGGTTCTCCCAGAGAACTTTGCTTAGTCAGTTGGTTGGTTGGTTTGCTTATAAGGTTTATAAGGCCATCCAACACAAACAGGATGACTCTGGGCAGCATGCAGCATAAAAAACAAATAATAAATTTAAAAAAGGGGAAAGATACAATATATAAATACAAAATATAAAATGGTGACCAAACGTACAACAAAACAAACTCAGGGGGAACTCCCACTCAACTGGCCCCTGGTGCATGGGGGAACAGCTAAGTCTTAAGGGCTTTCCTTAGGAGAGTTGGGGCCTGTTGTATATCAGGGAGAGATTGCTCCAGAGAACAGGGGCAACCACAGAAAAGGCACACTCCTAGGTCCCATAAGATGACAAGATTTAAAGAAGGAACCTGGAGCATGCCTCCCCTGTGGGCGTGTGTGGGGGGGGGCAGATGTTTTTGGGAATAAGTGGTCCCTCAAGTGACCTGGTCCCATGCCATGTAGGGCTTTAAAGGTAATAACCAGCACCTTAAATCACACCCAGAAGCCTATTGGGAACCAGTGCAGCTTGTGGAGAAGCAGTGTTACATGGGCACAACAAGATGCGCCCATAGCTACCCACATGGCTGCTTTCTGGACCAATTGAAACTTCTGGATGGTTAATCAGGAGACTAACAATATGAATATTAATTAAAAATAATAATAGTAACAGTTAAAAATAATAGTAAATCATCATCATCTCTTTGTTTTCAAGAAACGAACTCTATTCCTCAGGCACATTGCCCATTTCAAAAATTGCTGCAATATGGGCAAGAATATTTTATTGTAATTCCCCTAAATAGTGAGCCATCTCAGCAGGTTTCTCACTCTGGCAAACTCTTTGCATCCGCGCTGTAATCTAAGAAGGTTAGTTCTTTTTTCCTGTTTTTGCTGATACATTTATCTTTTCTTCATTCTGCACATTTGTATCCTAAATAAAAACCCAGATCATCTTTCAGTTTGCTTTTCTTTTAACTTGATCTGTCTTTTAGCGAATGTACCAAGTTGCATTTTATTTAAGTAAGAAATACAATCCAAATAATTTTTGTGATTACATGTGCTTTCTCCAAACCTGTTTAGTTTACTGTTTGTTAACTGTTTTTTTTTTTCCTCAAAAATATACATCCGTACCGTGCAAGATAAACTGTTGAAAGAATCAAAATGCAGCTGCTGTGATTTCACTCATGGTGATGTTGGAAACAAATATTCAGAATTTTTGTTAACCTGAGCCAGTTGTGAAAGAAAAGTCTTGCATAGTTGGTAGGAGTCTAAGAAACTGGATATTAGTATGGTTTTTTTGTCTTTCTTGGTGGCTGTAGCATTCATAGAATTGGAAGGGGCCACTTAGGCCATAAAATACAACCTTTGCTCAGTGCAGGAATGTAGATGAAACCATCTATTCTGCTTAAGACATGCTAGGAAGGAGAGCCCACCACATTTCTAGGGATTAATTTCTTTTACTGTTGGAATGTCTTTCTAACATTCAGCTGGAATCTCTCTTCTTATTTCTTAATTCCATTGTTTCGTGGCTTTCTTCTGTATGACCCTCTCCAGATACTTCTTCACTTAGTCTTTTTCTCAAGATTTAAGCATATCCAGTTTCCTCAATCTGTCCTTGAATGAGCCTGGTCATTTCCACACGGGTGACATATAGCATCACCCAGCCATCGTTGAAGCAATATGAAGCCTGGCAAAATTATGGCTGGATGACTCCGGAAGACACTATAAATCACGAGTGTGGAAAATGACCTTAGTTTCTAATCTCCTGACTGTTCTCATTGCCCTTCTATGA